CACAGGAGGCCTGATTCCTGGAACATTGGTGAGCCCACTCCTGAATTTGTACCATTGGTGTTGTTTTAAAATTAGGTAACGACGTTGAGGACTTCCTGGAAAAAGAAGCAAGATGTTGATGTTAAACTGCACCTACTTGCTGGTACACTGTGCTCTGCCCTAAATGTCCTTGATCTTTTTGATCAATCAAAACTTGCTTGTCTGTTGTTGCCAATTGTTTGATAATAGGCCGCGTTATTATTTGCCCTGAATGCAAACAAATTACGCCATCAAAATCATGCGACAACATTAGTGATTAATAATAAAAAAAATCCTTTCTATAAATAATATTTTAGATAAAGGTACTTGTGTTGTGTAACCGGAATTGTGTTGCCTTTTCTAACAGGGCTGAGAAAGTAACATAAGATAATTTCTTAGTGACAAAGAATTATAAAGTGGTTTTAAGAATTAAAATGTCCTAAGTGAAGATACTGAGCTTTCATGTGCATATAGGAACACCAAGATAAACAATATAAGTATTACCATAGCTCACATAAAATACAGTGTCGACTATTTAGAGTCAACTGGAAAATAAATGGGGTTCCTATTTATTTCGAACTGTCATCAGGCAAATATTTGATTTACTACCTTGAATTTTTTTTTTCCCTAAGCCAAAAAGATTAGTTAAGGTTAAACAGTAAATTTAAATGATTCAAAATTATGCCTCTGTCACACTCCCCACAAATCCCCAAGTTCACACTCCACACAGACTTTTTCTCCTCTCTATTTCTAAACATGCACCATGTTCATGCATTGTTGAGAAACTCTAATTATGTACAAAAGAGAGAATCTGACAGGCCTCATGAAAACATAGGCAGACAATAAATTAGCCAAAGGTACAAAAATCAAAACAGAACAAGAGCCTACTAGTGAAGAGAAATTTGGCACCAATAAATTAGAAGGAATCGAGTCAATTGTCTGAACAAAATTGCATAAATAATTGCTTCGAAGAATGGGACATTAGTCCGAGAGGAACCAATTCAAGAGAAAAAAAGCCAATTTAGACGAGAATTTTCGAACAGCAGATTCTGCAGATTGAATTCAGTATCCCTGCACCACTGTAAAGTATACTCTATGAAAAAACTGATTTCCCAAAATTGCACATGTGTTTTTGATCTTACCTCTCAAACACAATTGTTTAATTGAAATCGAATTATCAAAGTAAGGCTTTAAAAAGTTTTAAAACAAAATTGATATGAAAATTACCTATCAAAAGATTCGGTCACTTTGCGCAAATAAGTTGAGAAGTGCGTTGGATTTTAAAATTTTGTCCGTTGAAAAGAAGCGTGTTTGGCAAACCAAAAAAAAAAAACCCCAATTTTTTTGATAGCTTGTCAACATTGTATCATATCACAAGCTGCTAGGTTGTGAAGACGATTAAAAGTGAAAATCTCATACCATCACACCCAAAAGAAAAAAAAAAAAAAAATTTGAATAAACTCACAGAATTCATGAGTAGGTTATAGTTGTGCGCAAGCTCACAATAATATACCTGTTATGGCGCAAAAAAACGCAACACAACAGACAAAGACAAAGCAATGCTCAGTATTCAGAAAATCACCAAATCGAGTCCTATATATATGTATATAAATTATACTGTACTATACCGGCTACTGCATTATGTATGATGAAGAAATAGATTCAGATGTTAGGATTCGCCGGAGCTAGGCTGATTTGAGACGATCAGGTTCGGAGTTCGGTGCGGCGAGCTTACCCGCGTTTGGTTCGGAAAACACCCACTAAGAGCTCACCACGTCAACCTTTCCATATTAATATCTTCACGACCAGTGCCAGCCCAGTGCTCTCTGGCCCAAATTTTCCCGCCCAATGTAACCCCCTCCTGCTCTCTCTACTTTTTTTTTTTAAAAATTTTTTCTTTTTAATAAATTATAAATACACCTCCTTGAAATTTTCTTAAAATACAAAAACACCTCTGTAATTTTAAAAAGAAAAAGTTTGGAGCTTAAATTGGGCAGCACTAAAGGAGCTCTAGATAGTGGGTCCCCACTGACTGATGTGATGTTTTGCCTAAGTAGTTTTTTTTTTTTTTTTTTTTTTTTGAATTTCCACCTCATTAGTGGTCCATTAGTGCTCCCAAATTAGTGGGATGTATCATTGTTGTTTTAAAAATTACATTTTATCCTAAGGTTTATAATTTCATAACCAATACCTCATTTTATTAATAAATTATCAACCAAATTAACTGTTTTTAATAATATCAAAAATATATTTTAATTAATAATTATACAAATTTATTATTGTGTAGGATGAAAGTTATGAATTTCATTTTTTCAATTAATTTTGTTAAATAATTTTTTTTGACAATGGGTATTTATAATTTTTCAAATCACGAGGAACAATTTATATTTTAATCAAATATTAAGGGGTGTATTTATAATTTACTCATAAATAATTTTTAAGTAAATTACCCTTATATAATTTTTAAGTAAATTACATTGGCCTCTATAAAGTCTCAAAAAAAATAAAGTAAATTTCACAACTTTGATATAATTATATTGGATTCTCTTAAAATTTTAATGCATATAGTATCATTTAATCTATTTTTCATTAATAATTTAATAGTCAAGTAAATAAAAAAATATGTGTAAATATGGATAAATGAGAACTAAATTACACAATTGAAACAACAGAAAGTAAAATGAAAAAATAAATTGCATACTTTAAGGCTATTTTTAAAAAAATACTAATTATACTAATATATTAACGTTACCTTTGTAAAAATAAAATAAAATAAAGACTTTTTTTTCCTCATTTTACACAAATGACCCTGAATAAATTTAAAATTAAATTGACACAATTAAAACATCATTAATTAATGATGTGTGAATTATTGACAAAATAGGTTTTTACTTCTACCACCATTCGCAGATGGAAATATAGGTATAAACTATAGTAACCAAATTAATAGGTTATAAACCAAATTAACATACTAAAATAAAAATAAAAATCATGTCACGGATACTTTGGACTATTTGCTGATTAGAAAAAAATTAAATTAAAATTATATTCTTTTATATTTGTTTAAAATATAAATTGTCCTCTATAATTTTAGAAATAATAAATATTCAATTTTCAAATGAATTAACAACAAAAATAAAATTTCTAATTATTTTCATATACAACAATAAATTTATTAAAATTGTTAATTAAAATATATTTGTAACATCATAAAAAAACTATTAATTGTCTTAGGCCTTATTTATCAATTATACATTTTAGCCAAAAGATTAAAAAATTACTATAAGTTGTTACATCACTTTATTTATTTTCGGCATATCTTTTCGTGTAAAGTTATTAAAATAGTCTGTTCTCAAACAATGGATAAATTGTTAAGTGATGAAAAATTTTGAGAGACATGATGTAATTTTCAAAATGACAAAAGACAATTTATGTTTTAGAAAAATGGTAAGAACCCACCATAAATATCCTAAATTTATTCCGAATGAATGTTGCATGGTTAATATTGAATTTATGTAGTGCCGGTTTCATGCATGTAATAAAAATAATAATTTTGAATAATTTCTAGATAGTTAAGTATAGGCTTGTAGTATTACTGTATATTTTAAGCAACTCTAAAACTGTATTTTATTCATGAATTTAAGAAAAAAATTGAGAAAAAATAAAAAATAAAATAAAATAAAATATAAATATAAATATAAATATATTTTATTAACATTTTATCATATTTTTTTCTTTCCAAATCTATCGTCAGATTATTGAACGAAACACGGCCTAAAGAGCCAGGTGTATTTATAATTTATCATAAATAAATAAATAGCTTTCCACTTGGTCGGGTGATTTCATCTCTCAACCCTCGAGTGTCTCTCTACCTCTGTGTCTCGATTAAAATCAAACATTATCACAAATTCAAGGGAATCAGCATTATAATTCTGCGAACTCCGTGGGGAGCAATCTTTAGATTTCGGTAAATCTTCGTATTTGGCATTGGATTTTTCATAAATTAGATAAGAGTCATTTCCATTTCTGCTTTGATCTATTAATATAATCTCCCCACATGTATATAGTTGTAGATTGATTGGTTGTAATGAGAATGTGAACTGCTGACGATGAAATCGATGCGTGCTCTTCATGAAAAATTGAATTCTTTTGTACATTGAAACTTGATTTTTGCGATGAGCTTAGGGCCTAAAATTTCATATAAATTTTGTGTCTTGTATGATTAGCTATTACTCTTACTCCTAAATTTTCTTGTTTGATAAGTTGTTATCTTGACTAAGCTTGACTTGGTTATTGGAATTTTTTTTTCTCATTGTTCTTGTTTTTTGATTCACCAAGTTATAATTAAGAAGAAATTTGGTATAGATATAATATTGATAGGAGTACTCGTGCAAAATCATGTCAAACAATGTATTAAAATATTAAGCCTGTGTTTGTATCATGGATTTGGGTAAAATTCTCTTTCCAAATCCCTATTTAAATCCACGATCCAAACACTGGGTAAGAGACTCAAAGAATAACACTAACTACACTATCTTAGTGTGCTACTTATTTGAAATGGTTTTCCTCAAAGGTCAGTTTTCTTCAACTGGGTATGTCTAGTTTTATTATCCTAGAATAATGTTAGAGTGATCATATTTATGTACGATCTGATGTGACACCTCACATGGCACTAACTACACTATCGAATACGTCTTACCTTTTATCTAGAAAACATCATCCTTAATGATATTATCTAAGTCATACTTCATGTTGGTTGGGTTTGTTTGAGGACAGTTCAGCAAGATTAAAATTACAACTATTTTGGAAATATTTTGTTTTGATTTTATATACAGTAATGTTACCTGCACAGAAAGTGCAAAAAAGTTGCACATCATCGCGCATTGATTTTTCTGTGCACTTTCGTGTATCAGGAATGAAACAATCCAAGGCATGGATCGGATATTGGAGTTGCCGGTATTTCTTATCCAATAGATACTATCTTGCCTTTGTACAAAGGAAGCAGCTAGAACCCGTGTGTTGTCCAAGACATGGCTGCATGCATGGTCTACCAATCCCAACTTGGATTTCATTGACACCTTATTCCCTAGAGATCCAGCAAATTTCAATGATAGAGAGAGATTTTTAAACATTGTGGACAAAAACCTTGCAGACATATCATGAGCAGAGGATACCAATTCACGAATTCAGGCTTTCCTTGACCCTCATAAATGAGTGGACTTCTATCATTGACAATTGGATAGGAATACTGTTGCAAAACCACATCAAAGAGCTAGAACTCCAAATTTTTCCAGCAAATGATCAAGGTACAAGGTACACTTTGCCTCAAACGGTCTTCACTGCCAAATCCTTGACAGCACTGAAGTTACATCAGTGTAAATTAAAACAGCACTCATCTTATGACAGTATAAAGCTTCACTCTCTGCAGAAACTGTCTCTCATGTGGATCGATGTCGATGAGCAGATGTTTCAATCTCCCATTGCCCTCTCATTGAAAATTTGTGTGTTGTCTGGTGCGATGGGTTGTCAAAGTTAGGTTTAATGGCTAGTCTTCATAATCTAAAGAAAGTTAGGATCTCAGGATTGAAGGAAGTTGAGATCAATGCGCCAAGTCTTCAATCCTTTTCGTATAATATTGGGGAGGGCGATACATTTGTGTTGAACATTGATTCATCTTGCGATCTTAAAGTTCTACATTTGGAGGGATTGAGCATCAGGGACCAACTTTTCAAAAACCTTATGTCGAAGTTTCCTTTACTCGAGGATATTCACTTGCAATATGTCAGTGACTTGAAAAGGATAGACATTTCTAGTCAGAGTCTCAAGAAGATTGATTTGGACAATTGTAATCAGTTGGTGGAGGCCAAGATTGATACTCCAAATTTATTCTCATTTGAATACGTGGGTAATGGAATTCCATCTTTATATTTTTTCAGAGCTCCACACCAATTGAAGGCCACTATAATTTGCTTAAAATATGATATTAATCCTTCATGGCTCCTTGCGTTGAGAAAATTCGCGGCAGACTGGAATCCCTCTAGAGTTTTGACTCTGCAGGTAAAACATGGTTGGCCTGAGATGAAAATTTGTGATGCAGACGAGTTGGAAGAAACATACATAACCAAAGTACCTGAAATAGAGCATTTGAATCTAAAAATATTATGGGGTCGTTGTTGTTGTGAGTCTCTTCTGGATGGCCTGTTTTGGAGTTGTCATCCTAAGAATCTCTCTCTAAAAGAGGTTGCTGAGCATCCAGACACTGATCTCTTAAAGAAATTCTGTGAGTTGCTAGTGGAGAGAAAAGAAGATCCTCAGTGTTGCACTACTTCTAAGTATTATAAATGTTGGAGGCATTACTTAAAAGGTGTGGAGACTGAGATTGGTGGAGGGATCAAAGTTGAGAAACCTCTTCATTGGGAAACTTTGTCAGATGTATTGAATTCTCTTGATTTTGAGGACCAGATGATTTGTTTCAAATTCAAATGGGGGCCTTAAAGACTGGGCCTCTGCTTGTAGGTAATCTCTCTCTCTCTCTCTCTAATTTTTTATTTTTTAAAATTTTGTAGTAGTTACTTTTGGTTATGCAAAAGGGCACAAAGAACACTGAAGGAAATCATATTACTACATAACTCAATTTACATAGGTTACAAGGGTTTGATTCTTGTATTCTTTTTTGAGCAGTGTTTGGTTCAATATATATAGCTTGTTTTATTCTTTCTTGTATTCATTTCGAATCTCTAGTATTTTTGTTAAATTTTTTTCTTTTACTATTCTTATATTGTTTTTATTTATTTATTTATTTATTTTTATACTGCTATTTCTTGTGCTGAACTCCACCACTATGCTATTTATTGGAGAACATCATTCTTGGACTTAACCACCTCCCAACCTCCCCAACCATGTCAAACTTATTTGATATCACAAGAAAAATTAATATTAATATTTAGATTAATTACTAATAATCAATCAACTTCAAGTAAATGTATCCAATATTTCCCCTACCCTCTGTCTGCCTTTTCTCCAAGGCATTTCTTATCTCCAATTGGAAGGTGTTGGTAGAATTCTTACCACAAGTCTTGTAGATTATGAATATATATATATATAGGGAGTGGAAGTCTAATACTCCGTTTGGATGATGGGGTTTGGTAAGAAAAAATGTAGTGAGAATAAGAAATCCTTTCACTTGTTTGGATGGTTAAGCATGTGAGAAATAGTGAGAAATGATGAGAGATGGTGACAGAAAGACTTTCAGCAAATTTATGTTTTGTTTCTCTTAAAAAATGGTAAGATTTGGTGGAAGAGAATTGGGTTTAATAAAAGTTTTTTAAAATATCAAAATTATCCTTATAAAAAATATTACTTATTAATATGAAAGGTTGTTTTCATAAAATAAAATATAACACTTTTCTTTTTCTTTTCATTTTTTCCTTATTTATTCTATCCAAATAAGATAGGTGAGGAATCACATTCTCTTCTCTTTTATTTATTCAAACATAACGGTGAGAAACCATAATCATTACTTCTTTTTTTTTTCATCTAAGTGAGAAACCTCTTCGATAATTGTAACATATTTATTGAGTTAGTTAATGAGAAAAAATTGGAAAATTAAAAAAGACAAATTTTTTTGGCTTATTTTGACTTTTTAATTTTTTTTTTTTTGTTGAAATTTTATGGAAAAAAAATACTTTTAGATTTGTTTATATCAGACGGATCGAAAAATTAAAAAATATTGACATAATTTTGAAATAAGGTCACTAAGATGAAAGAAATATTATAAAAAAGATGTGGCTTATTTCTAACTTTTTAAACAACATACGGTTTCATTTGAAAATTAACATTTTTGGTAATTTTTTGAATTTTTACGAAAGATAAATAAAAAATTAGAAAGAATTACATTTTTGTATTGACCTTTTAGTTAAAATAACTTATTCCCGAATAAGGCCTCAGTCACAAACTGTGGGCTCATTTGGAAACACCATAAATAAGCTGTTTATTGGTTTATTTAGGTTATAGGAGTTTTTTTTTTAAGGTCCCTGATATTAAGATTTTATAGCATAAAGAACATTCAATATTTTCATAATGTCTAAGGTCCCTCAACAATATTTTTATAATGTCTAAGGTCCCTCAACCTTAATCCAAAGAAATTTCAGTTTAGAGAAATTTCAATTCAAAGAAAATTGGTCCAGAGAAATTCTGGCCCTGAGAAATTTGGTCCTGAGAAATTTCTCTACTTTTCTTCTCATTTCCCTTAATTTCTCTCATTTTTAGCAATCCAATATTCTTTTCTTCCGAAATCACCCAATCCATGTAAAAGATACACGACCATTTTGGGGGGATAAAAAACAAAACCAGTATAATAATGGATAAGTTGAGCCAATCGAGCCAATAATGGTCGATCAAAACTGATTTAAGAATTAAAAAGCGTGAAATAGGTGTTTCATTGATGAATAGAGTTACAATGAAAGATCAGATAAAAGCATTACTTGAAGCATACATTGTTACACAAATAGCAGAGACTATGATAGTGTATTATTCTCAGAATTTCTCTAGCCCAATTCTTTCTAGAATTTCTCAGCATTTCTCTAATGCATTGGCTGAGTCCAGAAAAATTTTGAATTTCACTGGTCCAATTCTTCTCAGAATTTTTCTGGCCCAATCCTTCCTGGAATTTCTCTGATGCATTGACTGACTGGAGGAGTGGTTGATGGAGAAAATTCAATCCAGAGAATTTCTCTGGATTCTCTGTCTGTATTTTAACCAAATTTCTCTGGACTTCAAAATTTCTCTCCAGAGAAATTCTTATACCAAGGGTAATCTGATACTAAAATCATGACCGTAGTTAAAGAAATGGTCTTTAACTTACATCCAAGGCTTCTAGATCTCAAATGAAAAAAAAAAAAATTCAGTTCACAATTTGAAATTTTTTCTATTCAACTAATTGTCCCTCACCTGGACGAAATTTGCGAAAATTTTGAAGCAAAGTTGGAGCATAACACTGAAAAATGAATCAACTTCACAAAAATGGTCTTTGGCTCATCCCAACTACTGAATCTCTAGTGTGTAAATCCTCCACAATAACGTTTGAAATCCCACTAGACATTTCACTGCCTATTCCAACCCCAGAACATATTGGACTTGTGCCTGAGAGTGAGACTCTTGAAGCAACCTATTCCAACCCCATAATCATAAATCTGATGCAACTCCAATAAAGAGATTATGTTGAAATGTTCTGATTTTGGAAACTCCACAATAATGTTCAACTCCAAAATCATTTTTCTGGACACCATCGGTATTTGGATTTTGGAAACTCCACAATAATGTTCAACTCCAGGTAGGTTGCTTCATTTTTCTCGTTTTCAGGTATAGACCCAGGTAGGTTGCTTCAATCTCTATACCATCGGTATTTGGAGCATTGAGAAGAAGACGAATCGGAAGAACTAGATACTAATACTGATGATCAACAACAACATCAACAACAATTTGAAGAAGAAGAAGAAGAAGCAGATGGGAGTTCGTGGGTCTGGACGTGTTTGAGCAAGAGTACTGGTACAATTGAAACCCTAGGGTTTCCCTTTATGATTGCACTTGGGGTTGCTCAGGGACACATATTTTCTAATCCGAATGTTGTCGATCGTAATTCTTATAAGAGTATGGGGGTGAGGGACCTTAGACTACAAAAGAACATATTGTGAACTTAATCCATTACTAAAAGTTGGATAGGGACCTTAGATCGATTTTTCCTAGGTTGTATCACTTCTCTACTTTTATCTTTTCGTAATAAGTAAAAAAATCAACTTATAAGTTATAAGCCATACCCAAAAGCCTGCATCACAATTTTGACATAAAATTCTATTAGGTAACTCACTTTTCGTTTTCTTTTTCTTTTTCTTTGTTTTTTTTTTTATTATTTCCAATTCTCTTATCATAGAACTAAAAATTTTAATTAAAAATTTAAGGGAAAATTAGAATTCAGTGTAGTTTTTAAAAACTAATTACAAATCAGTGATAAACTTTATAAATATTAATATTTAAAGTTATAAATTTTTCTATATATTTATAATTATTTGTGAAACATATGTTAAATTGTAAAATTTTCAAAATTTAAAATGATTCAATTATTATAATGACATGATTTTATTATATTTATATTTTAAAAGTAGATAACAACTTTAATTTAAAAAATGAGATCATTTTACTATAATTTTCAAATTAATTTAACTTCTATTTTTATTTAAAAAGAAAATCAAATTATGAATATAAACCCTAGGTTGGTCGGAGAGGAACCGCCACGCGACGGAACCACCGAACTATATTGATAATATATGTAAGAGCATCTCCGATCATGAATATGGAAAAGTCTTATTGTTCCTTTCTCCATCATCTTTGATTCTTTTGGTTCTTTATCTGTTATTTGACCATAATTTGATTATTCACCATTTTATTTTTTGCTCACAAGTACAAGGAAACAAAATTATGGGGAAACATAAATGAATGCAGAATTCAACTGCCAAAAGATTGACCTCAACATTGAATTAATTGATCAAGAACACATTACAAGAGGTTAAAAATTCTCTCGATCTTACATATTTAATCAGACTTAGATCCTCTTTCTTTTGACCTGGTTTTTCGCCGCTAGGCATCTTGTGTTTGGTAACACTAAATTTTTACAGTATTGGAAGATGATAAATTCAAATTCTAACTGTCACCCTCAGCGTTTTAAATATTAGCTGACACCTGCTATTGTTGTTTAAAGCCGTGGGTCGCCCTATTTGTACATTGTGGAGAGAAGCGAAAACCCGACATCTCTTCTATGACATAATCTCCAGAGCCTCTCTTGTTTGACCAAGTATATTGAACACTGTTGCTGCAATGTGGACTGGTGTGAGACCAGCTTGGGACAGTTGGTCAGCTGGTGATCCGTGGTCAATGTACCGATCAGGGAGAACCACTGGTCTCCACTGCACAGGATTTTCAAGGACAGAGAGTAAGTACTCTAGTGCTGAGTTCGAAGTTTTCTTCTTTTTGGTGTATGGGTAGAAAAAGTAGAAATAACCAAATAACAAATAGATCATCTACTGCTCACACACACCCCATATATAGAATCAGTTTAAGATATGTTTGGTTCTGTTTTCATTTTCTTTTTTTCCATATTTTTGAAAACAAAACAATGAGAAGTTCAACCACCATTTGCATATCATTTCATTTTTGTACAAAACATGTTTACAAAAATTTGAAAACAACTTCTTGGTATTTTGTAAAAAATGAGTTGTTTTCAGAAAATTTTCCTGAGAACTGTTTTATGAAATAGCTTGCCAAACAAGTTTGTGCTTCTTAGTTGTTAAGTACTTACCTTTCATTTGGACAGAAAGCTAAAACTTTCTAATGGAAATTGAATTAAAGCATAAATTGTGATGTTCATTTCCAAGTTCAACCATGATCCAAACTTTGCTCAAATGTTTAAAAACTATAATTTGGATTCATACCTTTACTGTGCCATCAAGAAGCCCATCCAGAGCCATGAACTGAGCAACATGTGACCCAAACCCCCCAACTGATCCTTCTTCTACTGTAATCAAAATCTCATGTGACTTTGCCAGGCTGCGAATAAGAGCCCGATCCAATGGTTTGCAAAAGCGTGCATCTGCAACTGTTAACCATAAACCACGGGGTTCTACCAAAGCGGCTGCAGCCAAACAGCTTTGAACAGCCGTTCCATATCCCAGGAGTGCTACTCTCTCCCCTTCAATCAATATCCGGCCTTTCCCAACCTGTTGCAAAAGTTTCAACAATCTATAAAACTTCATTTGTTCAGATTAATCTTTGTGGCAAAGATTACCTTTTTGATTTTTTTTGTCTTTTGTGATTTTTTTTCAAATTTCGGTCAAAAGTTATCTACTTGTCACATGCAATTCAATATTTTAGCCTAAAAAGCCAACAATCTATACCAAAAAGTCAAAAATTTTCTTTTCTCTTCACTTTTTGCACATCTTTTCGTAAAAAATCAAAAAATCATTCTAAACATACTAATTTTTTTATCTCATATTTTAGCCAAAAAATAAAAAAGATACTAAAATAGACTGTTCCCAAACGAGTCTAAAAGGATCTTTTTTCTTTTCTTTTTTTAATAAAAAAATATCCACAAAAATATCACTAATACAAGAATTTTTATTTTTATTTAAAAAAAAAAAAAGACTTTTTCCCCCCTTTCTTCATTGTCTTTAGTAGAGAGTTCAAGAAAAGTGGCTCAAGCTTGAGATAAGAAAGCATCAAACAAAGGAAGGAAGGAGTTGGCTTTTTCGGCCCAACAAAAGCCTTGGAACAAAAATAAGGGAAAATGAAAACTTTGCTATCAGAGTCAAGGAAGCAAAAGATTAACTGTCTGTTCTCGCCTGTTGATGGATAGTAGGTTGCTTCCAAGCTTAAACCATTGAAATTGAATTGCTACTTTTTTCTTTGAGTGTTTGTTTGTCATTTAGGCTGGTGGGTGATATTTTTAGTGTTTCCTAGCCTAGTGGACCTAAAAGTGAAAAGTTTTTTGAATTTTTTTAAAAGAAGTTCAGTAAAAATGAAAAATAGTCAACAAAAAAAGGTGTTAAAAAAGCAATTGCCAAACCAACTGGAGAGCAAGTGGAAACTCATTTGAGTCATACCTCAAGAGGAATGCCTTTGTTCCCTGATGGCAGCGTGACGCCCACACCGTTTCCTCTTGGGTAACGGAAACAGCTTGGCCTGTCATCTATGGCGGCAGCAGTTGCAACCATGTGGAAAAGCTCGGCCTCATCAGAAGGAGCCATCACAACCATGTTTGGTAGGCATGCCATAAATGTGACATCAAAAGAACCACAATGTGTTGGACCATCTGCTCCAACTAGCCCAGCTCTGTCCATTGCAAATCTCACAGGCAACTTCTGCAAATCAACATCATGGACTACCTGTGATACAAACCAAGACAGGTTCACAGGTTCATTGCCAAATTAACTCAATTTTAACATAATTTTGTAATGATCTGATTAATATGGATGGGGATCAAGGAAGGAAAAAATAAGTTGGCTTTTTAGTTTTAGCCAAATGATGGAGAAGGTGGCTTGCCTGGTCATAAGCCCTTTGCAAGAAAGATGAGTAGATTGCACAAAAAGGTTTAATGCCTTCGCAGGCCAGTCCTGCAGCGAAAGTTACAGCGTGCTGTTCTGCTATCCCAACATCAAAGCATCGTGTTGGGAAACGGCGAAGGAAAAGATTCAAGCCTGTTCCACCACCCATTGCAGCATGGATTGCAACGATATCTTTGTCGGCCTCTGCTTCTGCAATCAAAGCCTCTGCAAAGTATGTTGTGTAAGACTGAGTTTTAGCACTGGCTTTGAATTGTTTCCCAGTCGCTGGATCAAACTTGGCCACTCCTGCAAAGAACAAAATCCAGGTACTATTTAAAATTATATGTTGTTGTAATTATCACACAAAATGTATTGAGACAGACATATGGAAACTAGATGATTGTGATATTCCCCTTGGGATTTGACATGGAATAATATTGTTTTACATGACAACTCCAAATGAGTATATTTGTCCAAAATATTGTAAAATCCCTGTGTTTGTTTTCGTTTAAAGAATCTGCTTTATGAAAAAATCTAAAACACTCATCTTTTTCATATTGTTTTTCTTTTTTGTGCAAAAATAGTTTTTAAAAGTTCAAGAACAGTCAAGTAAGAAACGAAAAGAAAGGTCTTTATTTACAGTAGTCTGCCAGCCAGTAGTACCAGTAGTCAGAAAGCGAAAGCCATCTTTTAGAGAAAGGGGAGTACTCTTTGACATAACTGATGCTTTGCTCTATTATTGGAGCAGCCTGGCAATACCCACGAAAAACAAAGAACCGTTCACTTTTTGGGGGATTTGCGCTTGAATTGAAGTAGGGCCTTTGGAATGAGTAGGGCTCCCAGGTGGTGTGTTTGTGGAGGCAAACCGAAGGAAGAGCAAAGGGAAGGTTGGCTTAAAATTTCTAAAACACTAATCATTTTCCCCTTTTTGTGCAATAGTAGTTTTGAAAATCCAAAAACATCTCTTTGGTATTTATTTTCACCAAGCTTGAAAATCCAAATTTACTATTTTGTTAAAATACAGATTCTGAAAACAAAACTAAACAGTATTGTGCTGAAATGATTAGCAATCAAATCAGAACAGTATCACTTTTTAGCAATCTCAATCATTGTAAACTTGGCTCTAATTTTTCTAAATTTGTAAATAAATTTCTATATATACCATGGTACTTGTCCGCAGCTCTCTCAGCATACGGGTATCCTCGACCTTTCTCAGTGACAACATGGATGAGTACAGGACCGGTTGTTTTAGTGCTCTTAACCTCTCTCAGAATTGAAACAAGATCATATATGTTGTGACCATCAACAGGACCAATGTAATAGAGTCCGAGCTCTTCAAACAGTGTTGATCCAGAACCACTGATCATTCCACGAGCATATTCATCAACTTTTGCAGCCAGTTCATGCATAGGCCCGCCAATTTGTTTGGTTACTCCCTGCAAAAATCTCAACCACGGTAGAATCAGGTTCATCAAAAGCATCATCATTAATGAAGTGTTTCTTAATTAGTACTCTGGTGAGCTATTACTAACCTTGGCAACTTCTCTTAATTCTCTTAGAGGCTTGTTTGATTGCAAACGACTCAGAGTGCTGCTCAAAGCTCCTACAGGTGGTATAGGCCCGTCTAGATTAGCAGTGGGCAAAGAGACTTGTTTGTTGTCATTGAGAATAACAATCATATCGGAATCAAGATACCCTGCATTGTTCATGGCTTCATACGCTTGGCCTGCTGTCATTGCCCCGTCACCTATAATAGCAACGACATGGTTCCTTCTTTTCTTCAAATCCCTTCCCACAGCCATCCCTGTCCACCCAAAACAAGCCAAGGATCAAAATTCTCAGGGAGAATTAAATAAAGGCTCATAATTTGGCTCGGAAACAAAATACAGTATCTTGATGACAGTGGCGTCAATGTGATTTACCACTGAGGGAAACATAAAAATCCAAAATAAAGTTGTTTCCCATCATTTGGACACGTTTGGTTTCATTTTCATTTTATGTTCTACAAAACAGAAAATATATGAACTGATGCGGAAAATTTATTTCGTAGACTATTGTTGGGAAAGTTTATGAAAATACCCACTTTGAAGGAAACGCTTATAAACATGCCAAAGATCAAACTTAAAATTCTTGTTCTATCTAACTTTCGTTGCAATAATCAACCAGATCAGAACAGAGAATTACCCAAGCCTGCTGAGATAGTAGTTGAACTATGACCTGTGCCAAAGCAATCATACTCGCTCTCCGATCGCTTAGTAAATCCCGAAAGCCCATTTGTCTGCCTCATTGTGTGCATCTTATCTCTTCTTCCAGTCAAAATTTTGTGTGGGTAAGACTGCACAATTTTTTTAGGTTACTAAGCTTTTCGGTTTTCCCTACGGAAATATCTATTCTTACAAAAAAAATATATCCAAAATGATAGAATGATGTGATAATAACATCTTCAAAATTAAGAAACATCACATTTAATTTGAATAGTTCCAGTTCAACCATATTATTCTGTTAAAAAAAAAAAAAAAAGGTAAACTACCAATAAATCTTAATAATTGAACTTAATTCCCATAAAATCCTATTGAAAATAAGTCCTAATAAAATCGTTGCCAAAAATAATTTTTTGTGACTTTTTTTGTCGCTAAAAATTAACAATTAGTTACTTTTTTGTCACAATTTGTACAAATTGTCCTGTAAACTTACAATTAGTGACGTTTTCGGTGACGAATTTTTCAAACTGTTGCTGAAAGTTGAACATTAATAATTTTTTTGTGACATTTTTTTAAACTGTTACTAAAACTTATAATTAATGACATTTTTTGTGACACAATTTCTAAATAGTAGCTAAAAATTAACGATTAGTAACTTTTTTTAATAATGTTTGATGAAAAATATTATTAATTATCATAAGACTTATTGAATAATAAGTCCACCTATTGAAATCTACACGTAGGTTTCAAAAAAAATTGTATAATTTTTGTGAGTATGACCTGATGGCCAACATCCCACAATAACTTGTCCTGAGGAGCATTGAAGACATAATGAAGAGCCACAGTGAGCTCGACGACACCGAGGCTTGAACCAAGGTGACCCCCAGTCTTGGAAACATTGAAGATGACATCAGACCGTAGCTCATCTGCAAGTTGTTTCAGTTCCTGCATCAAAAGATTGTTTTAATTACACAGATTATAGGTTAGGAATCCTCGGTCCTTAAATCTCTTGTCATTCTGTTCCAAGATACTTTCGGTCACACGATGAAGTGTAAATCTCAACACACAAGAATCTCAGTTGTGAAGTAAAAATCTCAAGTACACACTTTATAGGTTAGGAATCCTCAGTCCCTAAATCTCTCGAAATACACGAATCTCATTTATGAAGTAAAAATCTCAAGACACAAAAATCAATATTTGGGTTCTTGTGTCCAAAGACACTTCCAAAAAAAAGTAAAAACCTCGAGATATAGGAATTTCATTCCTGAAGTAAAAATCCCGAGATATGGATTTAGGGGTTGTTTGGGGTGTCCTAAATAAGTATACTTTTTGTCTTTTTAGATTAAAAAGTTGAGGAAAAAAATATAGATGTTTGGGTTAACTTTTTGACTTTTTATGGAAAAATGTGTAATAAAAAATTGTAAAAATTGGTTTGTTGGGGAAAATTAGAATTGGGAATTGTGCAACCGTAATTGTTACTTTTGATAAATAGTGTTAACTTTTTAACTTTTTGAGTAACTTTTTGACTTTTTCAAAAGTTTCCAAACTTGGTCTTAATATCTCTGATCTTTTGTCTCAATATACTTTTTTTATTTATTTATTTTTAAGTAGACATAGGAATCTCAACAATAATAATAATGATACATCCTTCTAATTTAGGAGCTCTAATGATATGAAAGATCTAAAGAAAAAGAAAAATGCTTGGGAGCACTAATTAGTGCTCCTACTAATTAGGTGGCAGTGGGTCCCGCCATTAATGATGTGATGTTTTGGTCTTGGAGTTATATATATATATATATATATTTTACTTTTTTAATGCATTAGTGCTATTAGTGGTGATGTTTTTAGTGGGATGAATCATTGTTGAAAAAAAAAACCCAAAACATCACACCACAGTGGGGCTCACCTCCCATTAGAGCTCTTAGAGCTCCTATATTAGAGCTCTAAAACATTTTTAATGAAATCAATATCTCCATTCGTTTGTCTCAATATACTTTCCCTGAACTAAAAATCTCGAAACACATGAATTTTATTCGTAAAATTGAAGAATAATACTATATAAACCAATTGGTAAACTAATTAATATACCAATAGATAATGTAGTATAATTTTAAAAAAATTTAATATTTGTAATTTGTATAATGATTATAGTCAGTAATAACTAATAATGGCATAACACTAATTGGTAGCAGATGTAACACCGCCGAAAATTGAAATATCAAAACATGAAAATTTAAAGATACGATTGATTGAGAGTTCATTGGAACTGAGAATCTCGTGCCATGTATTAGAATCCATAGCTCTTGTAACAAGTTTTATGAGCTTTCAATGATTTTATATACCTTAACAGAAAGATTTTTCATGTGGATTGGATAGTTGATGGTGTCCAGGAGAGGCGTTGGTGGTCTCTGAGAATGATACTCTCCTCTCTCTGAAAGTGATGCCCAAAACCCAACTGCCCTTTTCTTGACCTGTGGACCAAAATCAAAACCCATATCTTTCAATCACCTCTATCCCAAAATTGACAATACAAACAAATTCAATCAAACAGTAAATCTTTTGATTTCAAGTAAATGAGAGAGTTGTGCTTAGCAAACCTGGTGGTAGTTCTTTTGCTGAATTTGACACTGCAGATCTGTTCCCCATAGGAAATGAGAAGAGAGAGGACCATTTCTATGGAGATCTGTGGGGCTCAAATTCCAGGGAAATGAGAATGTACACAGAGCCATTAGAGAGAGAGAGTGTGTATTGGAGAGAGAAAGCTGGTGCCCCTGTTGCTACTCCACTGTTGCTTAATACCACTGCTGCTGATATACATACATACATACACATATATATATATATATAGAGAGAGAGAGAGAGAGAGAGAGTGGGTGTGTGTGGTGTAGGAAGTGTGGAGAGGTGAAAATGGGGGGAGAGTTTAGAGTGTTGAAAGGGAGTGGACCTTGGTGGCCTCTCTAGAGCCATGGTGTTGGTGGGTGTGAATGTTCCAGGATTGACATGGTGGGTCTCTTCCTATTGGGCCACGTATGCACAAATAACAAATGGGGATGACAAAGATATATGATAATATACATATCTTCCATTCTCTACTATAGTGGGAAAAGAAGAATAAAGTTGTCACTTTCATTTCCATTATATATTTTTAGTCAATTCATTCCATTTGCATTTATGCTTTCACTATCACTTATTAAATGATTATGGATGATTATGAAGTGTTTTTCAGAAATGGTCAGGTGATGCTTGGGGGGAGATTGTGATGCTGATAAATGGTACGAATGAAATTTATTATTTTGTGTTGAGACGTAAGTAAATAATAATAGATATGACAATTAAAGATTGGCCGGTGACAAAGACATGTGTGCCTTTAACTTATATTTAACTTATAGAACCCGTTAAATCATTTAAACTAATTCAAGTTGATTGGGATCAGTAAACAGTACATATTTATATACAAAAAAAAAAAGTGATCTATATTCTAAATCATACTTTTGTTTATTTTTTTAAAAAGAAGTGTTATCTGATCACAATTATTGCAATTTCTTTTCAAATTGTGTTTGAATTTGTAAAAATAAGACACATCAACAAAATTCTTTTGAATATCTAAAAAGACAGCATATTTGTTTCGCAGATGAAAAGGATGCTTCTCTTTTGAAATTAGGTTTGGAAAATAAACAATTAGTGCCAAAATATTAAACCAGGTTTTTTTGGTTCCAGCTTGCATTTATCAAACAAAGAAGACGATTAGAGAGTTAAATTTGCTTTCTGTGAGGAACTGGTCGTCCCATCTCTGCCTGTCTTATATGTGTAGGAACCAGTTCTTTTTTGGTTCCAGCTTTCCCTTGAAAACATAGGGTAGTTGGGTTCTGTTAGAATTTACCATTCACACTCACCTACTACACTCCACCTACCACCAATTTACCCTCGCCTACTCCTCACCTACTACCCAAACCCTCTCCTATATAATGCCACTCTGATTTGTAATACAACACATCAATCTATCAATAAATCAATAATACATCAGTTTATTTTACAGGTTCCATCATTGTGGACATAGGAATGGGATAAATATGTGGCACTACGATCCTAAACTGATTTGGGACAATGTTACTTGTGAAATCCAATAACTGCTCCTATTTAAAACTTTAAATGTAGTTTATGGGCATTCATTTTGATCATTGAATAATCACACCAGATCGAAGTTTTATGATATAGGACATGTTTCATGTAACTAATTAAGTCTGTTTATGGCTTTTTTTTCTTTTTTCTTTTTTTTCCCCATTTTTGAGGATGAGTTAAAATGTTTAACACACTTTCTGTTTTCAATTTACGAGGCAAAAATAAAAATAACTTGGGATAGATATATGTTTAACTTCTGGTTTCTAATTATCAAATTGTACCAAACAGTGCCGAAATTATCACACCGAAAACAAAACAGCACGGAAGATAATTTTTGTATCTAGCTCAAGTTAGTACAAATATTCTGTTTAGAAGGAATAGCAGCAACATGGTATTGATCCAAGATAAGGGATAAGCACAGATTGGCATTATCCGAGGGCGGCTTCTCATTCACTTCATCTTTGCCTCAGTAAACAGAACATGACGATTCACACGTGGGTCATACTTTCGGAACTCAAGCTTCGTCTGGATCCTCTTGGGGTTCTTCCTCTTCACATAAAAGAATCCAGTCCCAGCAGCTGAAACAAGCCTGATGAACAACGAAGCAGTCTTCTTCTTCTGACCCATCTCTTATTCAAGCAAGAAAAAGCCAAACAAGTCAATAGGAACTCACAGCAAAGTTATGAAACATGCAAACAACTGAATGTTTTACCACACTATTTCCCAATAGTTGTTTTGCAACATTAGGCAACACAACTAATGGAGAAAAAAAAACAATAATTGTAAAGCCCACTATCCAAGTGGAGGCTTATCAAGCCTCCATTTTCGATAGAGACTTCATGTACAAGATTGAATCGGTAAAGTACCCATTTAAAGTGGAGTATTTTCTTTTACATATTCGTCGAAACATAATAAAAGGTTCCATGTGAGCCCGAAGACATAAAACAGTTACTTGGGAACTTTTTCAAGCAAATGCACATTCCCCACTTGTTTTGGACAGAATAAACAAGTTGTACCTTTTTTCCTTTTGATATCTGAGGACTAATGAAATTAATTTTTAGATGTTGTGTAGAAAATGGAGCAGAATTTAAAATTTCAGATCCGAAGACAAGATAAAAGAAGGGGAGAAAAGGCGGAAGGAGAAAAAAGAAGAGAACAAAAGAAAAGAAAAGCGCAGATAGAAAGAAATAGTAACCTCCACTAGAGATCGAACAAAGGTTTCATAAAAAAAAGAAAACTTTATAAGTTCAGTAAAATATTTAAAATAAAAACGAAAGCTTTCACATGAAATGGAGGCTTTCAATTTCTAAAAATGATGATAGAGCCTCAATTTCAAATAAAGGCTTACTTATGTATGTAGAGCATCAAGCACTTGTGGGTATGTTAACTATGCTAGTGTTTTGCAGCTTTTGATTGGGAAGTCATGGAGATTTAAGTTACATGTAAATTGCATTGGTACATAGGTATGTTAACTATGAGAGTGTTTTGCAGCTTCTGATGGTTGAGTGAATCTGGGATTATATGCAATTTTCTTGAATTCTCAAAGCTCAACAACTGTCTTTATTTCATATGAATTTGATTTAGCAGTGAAGCTTGATTTAATCTAATTCATGGATTGAGGGATTTTCATGTCTTAATTAGAACTATAGATAACAAACATACATTCATTTCTGCATCTTTGATTTGTGTATTTATTGTAAGTAACAACACAACCAAAAAAAAAAAAAAATTTAAAATATGTTGGGAAGTACCTGAGTTTGCTGTTGAAGTTCACAGACTCTGCAAATTAAAAGGAAATTCTTGATTTTAATCGGAGAGAGAGAGAGAGAAAGCGAGAGAGGGGCTGAGCCGCTGGTCGCTGATGAAGAGGGAAGATGATGAATCAATCGACTGAAGAGTATATATGTATAAACTATGGTATTCTTGTAATAATAGCAAAACTGAGGGGGTAAAAATGTAAAACAGAAAAAGCCGTCCCCAACCTGTTTATTTTTCTTTGCATTTTCTCGGTAACCAAACGGGACGATGTCTCATTTGCTTTGCTGAAGATCGAGTGTTTGATTGATCGGAGTTGGAGATGTCGTCGAGCACTGTGGATCCGGCCGGAGAGCCGATTCCGACGTCGGCGGTGCTGATGTCGTCGGCGAAGCATATAGCGAGCAGATGCAGAAACGAAAACCTAGCCTTCCTCAAATGCAAGAAAGACGATCCTAATCCAGAGAAATGCCTGGACAAAGGCCAACAAGTCACTCGTTGTGTTCTTAGCCTGTAAGTACATTCATATACACCTGCATTTATAGTGTTCATGTCACCACTGTATAATTTTTTAGTGTTGATCAAGTTTTGGGGCTTTTGTATCTTTGAATTTCATTGTTGTGGAGAAGAAAGTGATGATTTGTCTCTTTTTCTAAGGTTAAAATGATGAATTTATGTGTTGAACAACAGAATCTGACTGGACATGGAGCTGAATTTTGCTGATGTTTCGCTTAGCTTGTGTTTGGATCTTAGATGTCCTTTTTGCTTTTTGTGAGAGCTATATAAAGTGCTGATCAAATATTCATCTCAGATATTAATCAAGTTTGGGGCTTTTGGATCTCTGAATTTCATTGTTATGGAGAAGGAAGTGTTGAATTGACTCAGTTTTTTTTTTTTTTTTTTGTCGTTGTTGAAATGATGAATTTCTGGGTCTAAAACATGGCGTTGAACTTTGTCGATATTTCGGTTAGGCTGTGTTTGGATCTTGGATTTGTGATTTGTGGTAGAAAAAGAAAAGGAAGGGGATATGTGTACAAAGTAGAAGCTAAATTTTGTTCAATTTTCCCTTCCCATCTCCACAAATCATTTGCTAAATCTATGTGTCAGACACAACATTACTGTAACTTGAAAAAATATTATCTTGAAATGTTGAGGCATTGTCCATCTTATTGTATACGTTTATAGATTAATTATGAACTGGATTAGGAAGTGAGGATTTGAGCTTATGATAACATTAAAAAGTGCATAGTTTTTTGTTCTTAAATAACCGTCTAACCGGATAATTTTTTGTTGGTGTCTGAATGGATTGGGATGGGTTTTCAGATTCCAATTCTAAACTGAAATCCAAGTCAACAATTCTTCCCTCCCCTAATTTTCTTGTGGAATAGACATCAATAAATTTAGTAAGCAATTTGATCTCCATTCTTTGGGGTTGATTTGTAAGGCTGAACGTCCTTCATACCATTACATGGTGTGGGAATATTATCCCACTTCGCCACACAGCATCCCCATGTCACATTGTGCCTCCACATGTCAGCCCACTCAGCCCTTGAGGTGACATATGGCCCATGTGCCACCACTTCACCTCTAACATGACTTCTGTACTCTCCCTTTCATGTGTAAGCCAATGCATGTAGAGCCCTGGCCTCTAACCTAGTGTCACGCCCCGCCACATTACCAAGGCCGACTAACCTACAAGGAGGAAATCTCAAGAAAGTGAGACTACTGAAATGGCTTGGAAGCTCCTGGAAGACTTGAGAAAGTATGAAGACCATGAAGGATGCTAGAGGGTTCTGGAACTCTCTAGAATGGCTACAAGAATAAAGGCTATGGGAGAATTGCCTAGAAGTCTCTAGAATAATATAAAGCATTGTATGTATGTTCTAGAATAGGGTCTTTGAGAGGATGAGGGAAGGATCCAGAATCCCCTCCATCCATGTAGATCTAGAATAGTCTTAAGAATACTCTAGTTAGGGGAAGTGTCTAGAACACTCTCCATTAGTGTAGTTCTAGAATATTCTCTGTAAGGTTATATAAAGGGGAGGCCCTCATTTGGCCAAACCAACAACCAAGAACTAAAGCATCCAAGTTGTAAGCTTTCTCTAAAGTAATACAAAGCTAGCATTCTCCAAGTGTTCTCTCTAAGTCTCTCTTGTGTGTGCATTCCCCTAGCTCCCTTCCACAAAAAGGCTTACTTAGGTGCAAGCAACGCGTGCTACAAGCATCTAAGGCCGCACGGTTGGCTTGGAAAGACTGAGGGTTGGTTCAGAAATTCCAAGGCCGTGACACTAGGCACTTGTGGGCATCTACTCGAGCCACTCACTAATGTATTTTTTTCATCTCTGCTCATAGGTTTGACTGAGCATGTCCTCCACTTGAGGGTATCCTCCATTTGTATTACCTCAGCCTTTGTCCATGGCACCGTAATGCAATATGCCTACGGCCTGCTTAAGTCCACATCCTACAATTTTTACTACATCTAAGGATTTCCACTAAAAATGTATCAAGTTGGAAGGACTAGCACTTCTCCTTCACACCAGCCTAGGCATGAGTTCCAAGCACATTACACTAGCCGGCCTCCATGGTCTCACTCTTTTTAGAAATAGCAGGCATCCATCCCCTTCTCCAAGTAAGCAATTCCTCTTTGAGTCTAGCCTCCAATACTACTGCTACTACTACTTTCTGTTTCCCTCGCTCCTAATATTTCCTTGCCCAGCCTATCTCCATTGATCATGTGCCATCTTGATTGCTAGATTTTCCCTACTTTCTTCTCCTTCAAACCTCTTATAACCGCATGTTATCTAAAAGCAAAATCATGTGATATTTGGGAACAAACCTTATTATTTTCTTTCATTATAACTTATAGTGCTGCCAGCTAATTCCTAGAACTTCTTATAGCTTAAAATGCCATAATTCGCTTTAAAAAGGCATCTCAAGTACTTCATTTTCTATAAATATATGACTTAATTAAGTTTTGAGCTGCTGCTTGGGGACACTCCAATTGCGTTTTTAGTGGGAAAGCTCCTGTGTGGCCACACACGACCAGGTAGAAGATGAGTGGTGGAGTTAGGGGTAGCAAACACCAAAAGATTTTAATGTACGATCCAAATAAAATTAGACTTGCTAATAAAATTATACCACTTTTATTTATACAAATGGAAGATTGAACCTTGTATCCATTATTTTGTATAAGGTTTTTGCATTTGGCTTTTATCATCATGCTTGCCGCCTCCCAGCATGAGTTTTTTTCAAGTTCTTTTTTAATGAGGCATTTCTTTTATTTGAATGGTTTGTGATTATATGATGGACCACGTTAGTACTCCTAATCTTTTCTAATTTCATTCGTTTCCTTGCTCAATTGAACATGCTAGTCGAAAAACTCCCGGGTGGAAAAAAGAAAAAAAAAATGTAAGATTATAGGGTTTGTTTGGGAAGAAAAAGCCCGGGCCTTTTTGGTTATTTTAGTCACAAAAAAATAAAATAGGCTTTCTAGCCCAATAAGACAAAACATTACCTTCAACCCATAATCATTACATTTTTTTCTCACAAAAGTCAAAAAAGCCAAAAAACTCATCCCAAACGAGGTTTTTTAACCCCAAGCTAAAATAGCCAAAAAGCCAAAAAACCAACCCACATCCCAAACGAACCCTATGAAATAACTTTTGCGTTGACTTTTGAGCAAAATTATCTCATTATGACAAATCTGCTAATGGCTTAAAAGACTTTCTATGGTTCTTTCCCCTGATTTTAGGTTGAAAAAAATGCTGGTCTTCTCCTCTTTTGAAGTGGGATAGCACTCGGGAGGGATTTTGTACTGAAAGTGGCTCCTTCCCTCTTGTAGTGATGTTAGGTGATGAGCGTAGGAAACTCTTGTTCTTAGATGATTATGTGAAGAATGTGTCGGATTTGTGATCATACAAAATTTGCATGGAAGTTTGAACTATTTCTGAGTTTTATGATAATTGGCTCTGCAGGTTGAAAGATCTTCATCAGAGGTGCACAAAGGAGATGGATGCTTATGTCGGTTGTATGTACTACTATACAGATGAGTTTGACTTGTGTCGCAAAGAGCAGAAAGAGTTCGAGAAAGCTTGTCCTTTGGAGTGACCGAGCAGATGATACCCAAAATCCAATGCTTGTAATAATTTTGGCCAGACTACAACGAGCAAATTTTACTAAAACTAATGCCACCAAACCCGTGTGGCAGAGATTGTACCTTTTTTTTTTTTGCTCGAGCAGAGATTGTACCTGGGAAATGCTTCCAGGATATTACTTTTTTCCATTTTCAATCATAATCGTAGATAAATACTGCATACATTGTTGGAATAATTGATTTTTCTTTTTCTTTTTTTTAACGCTCGTTTTCCATCCAGATGCATTTCAAGGTGTTGTGCTTGATGAGAGCATTTCACAGGAGCCTGATAGCCTGTTTGGATTGGGCGGTTTGGAAAGAAAAGAAGAGAGGAAGAACTCTCTTCTCCCAAGAAAAAACCCTGTTTTAGCTCAAGTCTTAGTAATTGTTTGGGATGTACTATGTAAGTGTATTTTTTGATTTTATGTTTAAAAAAGTAGAGAAAAAAATATGTATGTTTAGAATAATTTTTTGACTTTTTACGAAAAAAATATATGATAAAATATTTAGTAAAGTCAAAATGATCATTTCATCCTATTTGACTTTTTAACTTCTTTGGTAGTTGAATTTAAAAGACAAAATAATAATTTTGTTCTAGTGGCTTCATAATTTTGCCCTAGTGGCTGCCCCCGCAAGCTACCATTGAATAGTATAGACTTTTTAACATTTTTAGTAACTTTTTAACTTTTTTAGTTGGAGAATTGACTAATAAATCTCGTTTTGTAGACTTGTAATTCATAAGATTTTAAACTTTTTTTTGTGACCGAGTGGTCCCTTAAATTATTTGTTGATTGTTTTGCTATTGTTAGTACAGTTGGAGGCAAGTGGTGTAGTTATGTATGGGCAAAGTAGTGGGGTGTTTGTGTGTCACGTTGTTTGAAAAACGCACTAGTAGTTTTTTTATAGTTTGGTTATTTTTAACACGCCCAATGTTGGACGTAAATTCCTTATTAACTGTTTTTTTAGCGCGTGACGTAAAAACATGCAGTAATTCAATCAAATTAGATCTGTCATGTTGAAGTGCCACATGTCACATTTAGGAAAAATACACTAATGAGTTTTTAATTTTTTTAGAGTGTCACAACATACCTATCACGATATCACATTTGAAAAAAATATACTAAAGAGTTTTTATTTTTTTTTTAAAGTATCATATCATATCTACCACGTTATCACATTTGGCAAAAGTACATTAATGATGATAAAAATTTTGGAATGTCACATCATATTTGCTACGTCACATTTATAAAAAATAATTAAGAAATTTTTTAATTTTTTTAAAGTGTCTCATCGTTAGAGTGTCATATTAATACCTGTCACATTAAAGTATCACACCATATCTGTCACACATTCCAAAAAAAAAAAACTAGTCACACACTACACTTAGTAAAAACTCTCCAATTAACCATTTAAAACATGAGACCAAATGATTCAAAAATTTCCAAAATAAAACTTTCCAATAGATTTTTCTTTTTAGTTTATTCCAAACAAAATTTTAGTGTGGGGGAAATCATACAGTTTTCAGTTCTGAGGCTACATTTTATGAGAAATGGATTTTATTTTTATTGTGATTGAGATGTCAAATTAAACAATATTTAATGAAAAATGGAGTTGCTCAAATCGTGATTGTAATAACTGGAAGTGTCCCTAAATTTACCCTTATATGCCGTCAAGAAATTGCTTCTGTTCTGTTTGGTACACATGAAAGTAGACTAAATTACAATGTTCATTATTTAATCTCTTAATGAAATGACTATTCACTTTGTAAGTTAATGAAATCTTGACATAATTTTCAATGAACGAAATGTGGGAAAGAGACCGTTCCACCTTCATTTCAGTGACCCAAATATTAGTATACATACAGAGAACAAGGTTCCAGTCCAAACAAGTAAAGGCATTCCACAATAGGACCCGAACATGCAATTCCAACAACAAATTCAACCATAGAAACCAATAGATACATTAATTATATACTCCATTCAAAATAACATACTCCAAAAGGGCTAAATAAGGGGTCTATCAAAAACAAAACAAAGTCACCATAATATGTCAAGTCTACCAAACATCCTATTAAAATGGCTACATACATAATATGTCAAGTCTACCAAACATACTATTAAAATGGCTACATATAACAGTAGTAGTCTAGCATTCACTGATAAGGAGCACACACTGCGAAGAACGGCACCAAGGATGCCATACTATTGCAATTCAAGTCGAACATCCATCAGCGAGGACTGCAAATAAAACAATATAAATGAATTAGTTACATCATGTATATGTGTGAACATATGGGTGAGTACGAATACAGATATGAATGTGTATGAACATGTACATGTATGCACGCACATATTTATTTCAGTCAACAAAACCATATTTACAGACAGTATTAAAGGTAGAAGAGTCTACCCTCGTTAAGCTAAGGTACAAGTCTTGAAGCCCAAAAAATTGTTAAATTGTTGAACAACTAAAACTACAGAAATATAGGAAACTAAGCATAATGTAAAGCATAGAAATATTATAAGAGAGAGTAAGTCCTTTGGATGACATCTTGAAATATGTATATAAATGTTAAACTCACCTCACAGTATTAATACTTGAAGCAAGTCTCATTGAAGTCTATAATATATATACAAATATAAGATATCATAAGTATAATGCGGAGGAGAAATCAAAAAAGCCGCTTATTTCTGGTGCAATTTGTTGATCGAACCCTTTCAAATTTCTACTCGAGGCAAGTCCCATGAGCAAAAGCCCCAGTTAGTAGTTACTTGACCCCCAATTCCTTGAGTGCTTGCATGCTGAGATAATGGCCCCGACCTCAGGGCTAACCCTCAAAAAGCCTTTCTAAAACATGTATGCTTCTTAGCAATATTTTAAAAACAGAATTGGTGAGTGAACCGGAAAAAAGATCGAGTGGACGGGTCACCGGTTCAACCGTCGTGCTGAACTGAAATCAAACCGTGACATTATAAATATATTATAATTATATTTAAATAAAAATATAAGTAACAAAATTATAAATTAAAAAATTAAATAATCTTAAATATTTCTTCTAATACTTTTTTTTACTAAAAAATATAAAACTATAATTTAAAATATTATTAATTTTAATTTTAGAAGAAGAAATCAAATATTCAATATTCTCTCCATATGATTTTAATTCAAATAATTTGATTCAAAGAAGAGCAAAAATTTTGAAGGGATATCAAAATTTTAAGTTTCTCTTCAATAAATTTGATTGAATCCCACATAGATTTCTTGAGTTTTTTTGGAAGAATTTTTTTGGCTTTCACAATAATTTCAAGCTCTCAATGGGATTCCTCACAAGAAGAAAACCTTAAAAGAAATTTCTAATTAAAATTTTCTTATATATATATATAAAATATAAAATAAGAAAGATAGAATAAATAAAATAAAAGGAACAAAAAAACAAAATTTTGATTTTATTGACCAGGTGAACCGTCGACCGGTTCGGCGGTTCAACTGCCGGTTTCCCCGGTTCTCTCAAAATAAGCCAGTTTTTTACTTTGAACGGTTTAGTGGGTGTATCCGGACCGGAACCCCGACCGGTCGACGGTTCAACCGGTTGAACTAGCCGGTCTAGTCTAGTTTTTAAAATCTTGCTTCTCAGAACCACAAAAGCAAAGGCAATATTCCCAAAACCCATATGCAGATCAAACATGAGGGCCCAATGAAAGAGAACTATGACCAAATTTTTGAGTAGACTACAGCTCCACTCCCACTTAGGTCATGAATTTCATATTTTCCATCCAAACAAAAACTCTATGAAAATGGTACGTACCTGTAGGATCGTGAATGAGACCTTGAGGGACTCCGCCCATTTCCCCTAGGGCTCGGTGACCTGCTGGGTTCATCATACCTCTCATCACGGGGACTACGACCATTCTCTCTCGGGCTTGGGGACCTGTGGTCTGACCTGTAATTTCTCTCCTGGCGTGGAGAAAGAGACCTTGAAATGGATCTGGAATGCCTTGTGGACTTCTGGTTTGACCTATAATTTCTCTCATCAGGGGGTGGTGAAACTGATCTTGAAACAGATCTAGATCTGCGTGGAGAGTAATAATCATCCCTGGACCTGCGGTCCCTGTATCAGTGAACAAGAAAACACAAACAAACAAATCAATTTCTATATTAAAACTGCAAAATAAGTTCATGGATCAATTATTGATGCATCTAACAGGAAATACAAGACCAACAAAAAGCATCTCTAACTTCCCCGTGAGAGAATGTTATCAAAAGTAAAGAATAATACTACTACACAAAAGCAATTTCAGCACACACTTGATTAGGAAAATAAGCGAGATTATGTAAGTTGTTTTATAAGTAAGAAAATTTACTCAAACCTCCCTTAAAATCCAAACAACTGAAATGTGACCTTTACCTGAACCTTTACAGAGTTTCTGCACAAAAACATGAAACTTTGATCGAAACACTGTTTAAGGCTTTAAAATGGTGTACTGGTGGATCAACATCTGATAACTTCACAGCTTTCTTGCCTCAACTGTTTAAAACATCATACTATCTTTTCTTGAACAACCCACCATACCTCTACCAGTTCCCATCTTTGAAGATTTTCTTTGGCCAATTACAAGCTCTATATTCTTTCTTTAATTGGATAGTATGCAACATCAAGTCATCAAACTAACAATTTAAATCAGAAAGAAAATGAAGTTCTTGTGTGATCGTAATCATTTCACAAACCAAGTCCACCTAATTGGTTCCATTAGATGATAGAAGCTTTACAAGCCAAAAGCATAAAATAGGAAAGGCCTATGCAAATTGTAGTTTATTATTGATAAAGGTGAATTTAGAAATGAAACTTCTGAAGAGGCTTTGATCAAAAGGTAAGCAAGCAGTCTCGACTTTATGATCTTTGTCTCTGACTTTATTAATTCTGAATTCTTTAAGTCTCTCTTTTTCACTAAGAATCTGCATGAACAAGGCCACTGGCAGATGTCATTCAAATCCACTAGAACACGTAACATCACCCAAAAGAACAATAAATGTGTAGAATATGAAAAAAATCACAGCAATGAAACATCATCTATACAAACAAAAAAAACGGGAGTTGTACGAACAAGAAAATTTAGAGATTTCTCAGTCATATGACTAAATGAAAAAGAATCAAATGGGAAAACAAAGTGTTTTAAGAAGCTAACAGGAGTACCCAATAGATTATTCTACAGTTTAAACCACTCTTCCAGGAAATGAATGCCCACAAACACAGTAGTTACTACAAGACAGTTACTTAGTTTGTAAAAATGTGACATATGTGTATGATTCCAACAATAAATGAAGGTAACTAACTAAATTTTTTTAGTCCAATAACTATGCATACAATCCAAAAAACATTATGATGAGAAACGGGATAACATAAGATCAACATTGAAAGCTTGAACGTGAAAGCACAAAGAACTTAGTAGTGTGAGATATAAAATGACAGCCCAAGAATCCCAAACCAAAAACCAACACAGTTCAATTAATACTCTCTTTACAGATATGAAACCAGACCTTATGCCACTTCTTTCTGGGGAAGGTGAGCGTGAATAAGCTGTCATACAAAACATAACAACATATTAGCAAGGAAAAGAGATTATCGAACTACAACATGACATAATTTAAAGCTGCCACAATAAGCATTAAGTGCACAACCCAAAAACAAAAAGTAAAATGGAAAATGTTTTGAGACCCCCTCGATCGAACTACAACATGACATAATTTAAAGCTGCCACAATAAGCATTAAGTGCACAACCCAAAAACAAAAGTAAAATGGAAAATGTTTTGAGACCCCCAAGAAACTCCCACAATGATATGGCATGATATAGGACCCAAGTCCCTTGCCACATCATTGTAGGTGAATTTGTGGGTCTAAAAGTGTGGGAAAATATCAAATGAGCGAAAAAAAGTTTAACACGTGAACTGACAGCGATAGCGGCGTCTTGGGGACCTTGCTGGACTTCGCCTCCTGTAGCTTCCTCTTCCACTACAAATGAAAATAAAGCAAAACAAAGTCATCAACTGCTTAAAGGATAAATGAGATTTTCCCAGGAGGGAAAAATGATGATACTGCAAAAGAACAAAAAAACTACAGCAATATTACACCTTGGGCGTGTAACCCTACGCATTTCTTGAGGCGTTTTCCTGTTCTCTTCTGCAAAAACAATTCTTATCTCACGTCCTCCAATAACTGTATGGTTCAAATGATCCTTTGCATCTGCTGCATCTTCAGGATAACGGAACTTCACAAATCCAAAGCCTCGTGGTTCCCTAAAAATTCAAATCAGAACTACATTAAGCCAAGCATCAACATCAAAATAAGAATTTAGTAAGAGGCAAACCATTCATCCCTGATCTCTATGTTCAAGACAGAATTCATTTGACTAGTAGCTGAACATATCAACAAAAGCATTAACGGCAACACAGTAACAACCATAATAACAATAACCATTACAAATACCTATTTCGAAGAAATCATGACTTGTATCTAATTTTTAGATCAGGGGATATAAACTAACTTTAGAGCTTCCCAGGCATAGAATATTGTCAGATATTACTACTTTAGAGCTTCCCACCTCGTCAACAGCATTCTCCAGCATTCACCACTCACTGGAAGAATGGCCATGGTTGAAAACAGTAGGCCTTGGGCTTTTGTCTCCACCATAACTGCAGACCCATTCCCAAGCCCAAACAGAACACCTTGACAGAAAAATAAGGCTGACAAGCACCTGCCCATCTCCACGACTCTGGGGCATGTAGATCCCCAAAGTGTCAAGCTCCTCTTTTGCGTTTCTCATTAGAAACTCATTTCCCTCTAGCAGCCAAAGAATGATTACCAGCCACAGATCCCAACCCAACATAATTACAACCAGCCAGCCCAGAATTTTGGGTCAGCCAATCATCCACTTGAAGTGAACTAGAAGACTACCAGCCCAAAACCAGAGGCTTCTTAGTCCCTCCACACAGCATCCTCTGCACCTAGGGCTGCAAATGAACCGAGCTGTTCATGAACAAGCTCGGTTCGGCTCGGCTCGGCTCGTTAAGGGCTCAACTCGGCGCGGTTCGTTTAATAAACGAACCGAGCTCGAGCTCGAGCTCGACTATGAGGCTCATTTACTAAACAAGCCAAGCTCGAGCTCGTATAAACTCGGCTCGTCAAGCTCGACTCGTTTATCTTTATTTAAATAATATAAATAATATTAAAAAAAATTAATGAGCCGAGCCGAGCTCGAGTTTTATTAATGTTAACGAGTCGAGTCGAGTCGAGTCGAGTTCGAGCCTAATTTCTTATTGAGCCGAGCTCGAGCTCGAGCTCAATAAACGAGCTCGACAAGTAAACGAGCCGAGCTTGAGCTCAGCAAAGCTCGTCTCATTTGCAGCCCTATCTGCACCCTCCATCTGCCCATTACCCCACCTACACCCATCTTTTCAAATTCAAATCACACTCCAGCTGTCTCCCACTATCACCTACACACACCTGAGGCCTTTTTTCTTCTTTTTTTTTTTTTGGAATAAGTAGAACTCTCTAGATATTTGATAACAAACAATAAAACAAAAAAATACGGAAGTATAAAAGTTAAAATAATCATACCCAGTGTAGTAATTCTTAGGTAGATAAACATCCTTTATCGGACCAAATCGTTCAAATGGGATTCTAAGATCTTCTGGCCTGTAAAGAATCAAGTAGAATCATTAGATTTTCTCTTTCTTTTCTTTCTTTTAAACAGAGTGTAAGAGAATAATAACGTTTAAAACGATCATATAATGACAAGATCAAGGTTTAAAATTATATTTTTTACATATTTAGAAGAAAAACTTATCTACCAAAAAAAAAAAAGTAAATAACAATTAGGGTATCTGGGTCTATGGCTCCACTTGCCATGTGGCTCAACCACGTCACCACTACATCACCTTCTTCATGTTCTCTAACCACGTGTGAGCCTCAAGAGGTGACACGTGGATCAATAGGCAAAAGGCTCTTTGACCCTGCCCCGTTGCCAATTCCTACATAAGGTTCCTATGTCAACCTACCCATCCCCTACTACCCACAACCGCAAATCCCATTAAGTTCATAAAGACTCTGAACATTGAAAAAATGAACTCCAGTGCCGTGGATCGTATTGACATTAGAGTGAACTCATATAAATTGGGACAAAAAGGTTGTTGCTAAACCAACTATAAATTCATGAGAAACCGCAACAATGAAAGGCTAAACAACAAATAATCAAATACTTGAGGTAGCCCTGTAACTGTTGGTGAATGAATCTATTCAATTCCTATTTGGTTGTTCACATCCAACCAACATTTTTTCTCATTCATCAAATTGCCCAAAACTGCGAAACGATTTTACTCATCAAACCATCCCAAAATTTAAATGCAAAATTGCAAACCACAAATCAACACCCTAAAGTAATAATTATATAAATATGGATATATATATATATAGAGAGAGAGAGAGATCAAGGGATTGAAGGATGATGATAATAATAATAATAATAATAATAATAATAATAATAATTAGAGAGAGAGAGAGAAATGAGAGACCTGGCATCGAGGGAGATGTTGCGAACGAGGAGACCAGAAGGGGCAGGGGAGCGTCGGTCCCTGCGAGACCTGGATTCGCGAGGGTCGTCGTATCGCTTGCCACGCCTTGGGCTGTAGCTTCGGCTTCGGCTTCTGTACCTCCCCATTGCTGTGCTAATCTTCTCTCTTCTTCTTCTTCTTCTTCTTCTTCTTCTTCTTTTCTCTCTCTCTCTCTCTCTGAATTGAAAACCCTAGTTGGATGAAAAACCCTAACCCTAGAAATAATGGTGCGTCGACAGAGAGAGTTCACACCGGAGGGTCTAGAAACAACGATCACTTAAAATACCCCAATTTTAAACAGGATAATTTTAACACTCCGTTTCGAGAATTATTTTTTTAGTTATAAAGTTAAAAAGTTATTTTTTTAATCAAAAAGTCAATAATTTATACCAAAAAATTAAAGATTTTCTTTTCTCTTTATTTTTTGTACATCTTTTCGTAATTAGTCAAAAAATCATCCTAAACATATAAATTTTTTTTACTTATTTTTTTAGTCAAAAAGTTAGCCAAAAAGTTGGCCCCGTTTGGGGACTTACTTTTTTAGTCAATTAGCTAAAAAGTTACTAAATTAGCCAAAAAGCCAACAACTCATACAAAAAAGTCAAAGATTCTCTTTTCTCTTTACTTTTTGCACATCTTTTCGTAATTAGCCAAAAAATCATCCCAAACATACAAGTTTTTTTTACTTACCTTTTTAGTCAAATAGTCAAAAAGTTGCTAAATTAGCCTGTTCCCAAACGAAAAAGTTGCTAGGCCTCGTTTGGAAACAGGCTAATTTAGCAACTTTTTGGCTATTTGGCTAAAAATGTAGGTAAAAAAAACTTGTATGTTTGGGATGACTTTTTGGCTAATTACGAAAAGATGTGCAAAAAGTAGAGAGAAAAGAGAATCTTTGACTTTTTGGTATGGGTTGTTGGCTTTTTGGCTAATTTAGTAACTTTTTGGCTAATTGGCTAAAATAGCCTCGGCTAATTGACTAAAAAAGAAATAATGACCGGACATAAACCAAAGCAATATAATATGGTAGTTGGATAAGTGGAATCCTCTTCTGGGAAGAGGGGTCACTGCTGTGGTTAAAGCACAGCAGTGACTGTTATACTTCAATTTGAGATGTATTATAAACATATTTTTATGATTTGAATCGTTCATTTTGTAGGATTTATTGAGTACTTCATGTCTACCAAAAATCATATTAATCGGATATCAATAACTATATGATCTAGATTCTCTTTTCTCTCTACTTTTTGCACATCTTTTCGTAATTAGCCAAAAAGTCATCCCAAACATACAAGTTTTTTTTACCTACCTTTTTAGCCAATAAAAGCCAAAAAGTTACTAAAAAAACTAAAACATATAATCTATACCAAAAAGTCAAAGATTCTCTTTTCTCTCTACTTTTTGCACATCTTTTCGTAATTAGCCAAAAAGTCATCCCAAACATACAAGTTTTTTTTACCTACCTTTTTAGCCAATAAAAGCCAAAAAGTTACTAAAAAAACTAAAACATATAATCTATACCAAAAAGTCAAAGATTCTCTTTTCTCTCTACTTTTTGCACATCTTTTCGTAATTAGCCAAAAAGTCATCCCAAACATACAAGTTTTTTTTACCTACCTTTTTAGCCAATAAAAGCCAAAAAGTTACTAAAAAAACTAAAACATATAATCTATACCAAAAAGTCAAAGATTCTCTTTTCTCTCTACTTTTTGCACATCTTTTCGTAATTAGCCAAAAAGTCATCCCAAACATACAAGTTTTTTTTACCTACCTTTTTAGCCAATAAAAGCCAAAAAGTTACTAAAAAAACTAAAACATATAATCTATACCAAAAAGTCAAAGATTCTCTTTTCTCTCTACTTTTTGCACATCTTTTCGTAATTAGCCAAAAAGTCATCCCAAACATACAAGTTTTTTTTACCTACCTTTTTAGCCAATAAAAGCCAAAAAGTTACTAAAAAAACTAAAACATATAATCTATACCAAAAAGTCAAAGATTCTCTTTTCTCTCTACTTTTTGCACATCTTTTCGTAATTAGCCAAAAAGTCATCCCAAACATACAAGTTTTTTTTACCTACCTTTTTAGCCAATAAAAGCCAAAAAGTTACTAAAAAAACTAAAACATATAATCTATACCAAAAAGTCAAAGATTCTCTTTTCTCTCTACTTTTTGCACATCTTTTCGTAATTAGCCAAAAAGTCATCCCAAACATACAAGTTTTTTTTACCTACCTTTTTAGCCAATAAAAGCCAAAAAGTTACTAAAAAAACTAAAACATATAATCTATACCAAAAAGTCAAAGATTCTCTTTTCTCTCTACTTTTTGCACATCTTTTCGTAATTAGCCAAAAAGTCATCCCAAACATACAAGTTTTTTTTACCTACCTTTTTAGCCAATAAAAGCCAAAAAGTTACTAAAAAAACTAAAACATATAATCCATACCAAAAAGTCAAAGATTCTCTTTTCTCTCTACTTTTTGCACATCTTTTCGTAATTAGCCAAAAAGTCATCCCAAACATACAAGTTTTTTTTACCTACCTTTTTAGCCAAATAGCTAAAAAATTGCTAAATTAGCATGTTCCCAAACGAAAAAGCTAGGGCCTCGTTTGGGAACAGGCTAATTTAGCAACTTTTTGGTTATTTGGCTAAAAAGGTAGGTAAAAAAAACTTGTATGTTTGGGATGACTTTTTGGCTAATTACGAAAAGATGTGCAAAAAGTAGAGAGAAAAGAGAATATTTGACTTTTTGGTATGAGTTGTTGGCTTTTTGGCTAATTTAGTAACTTTTTGGCTAATTGACTAAAAAAGTAAGTCCCCAAACGGGGCCACCAAAAAGCCAACAACCCATACCAAAAAGTCAAAGATTCTCTTTTCTCTCTACTTTTTGCACATCTTTTCGTAATTAGCCAAAAAGTCATCCCAAACATACAAGTTTTTTTTACCTACCTTTTTAGCCAAATAGCTAAAAAATTACTAAATTAGTCTGTTCCCAAACGAGGCAACGTTTTAGTTTTTTTATTAAAATATGAGCCATGACCAATGGTTCGTCAAACCTTATATTATATTTGAAATTTGATGAAAAGTCACTTTTTGATCCACCATTAGGTTGACTAACCAGTCGATCAGCTCATGTAAAAATTGACCTGTGAATTGATTCAAATTGTTCAAATTACTGGTTCAAACGGTTCAAAAAACATTTTAAAAAAAAAATTGACCTTACCGGTTGACCGGCTGGTCAACCAACCGATCGACTACTTCCCTTTTGATACACGGTTGGAGTAAGCCATATCAAATTGAGAAAATTGGCTATTTTTTATTCAAATTTGGTAAAAAAATTGGTTCACCGTTGAAGATGTTCTGATGTAAACAAATTAGTATTTTTTGGAATTTTTTTTTGATTTTTTATAATAAAAAAAATGTGTAAAAAGGTAATGAGAAAATAAAATTTTCGACTTTTTAATATAGATGGTTGATTTTTTTAATTTTTTAGTAACTTTTTAAGTTTTAAGTTAAAAAGTGATGGTGTCAAACGAGAGCTAAAGGTAGGGTTTGGTAGAGTTTTCTAAATATGATTTGAAAATAGAAGTTGCATTTTAAGTTTATGAGTTTTGGAATTATAATTTGTGTGTGAAAAATTTGTTTGGTGAATCAGTTTTTTAAAGAGTTTTGAATTGAGTGAGAAATTTTTAATGTGACATGTGATATTTGATAAAAATTTACAACTCATAACCAAACACACAGCTCAAATTTCTATTAAAGCTCACAAAGTTTTTTAAAAAATTGAAAAATATTTTTTTTGAATATATAAAAATTAACATGTGTCAATTGAAAAATAATTAAATAAATAAATATTACATCGTTCTGGTCAACAGGCCAGATGATCGGTTAGGCCAAATTTCAAAAAAAAAATTGAAAATCGCACCTCACACAGGATTTTCTGTAAAGTTTTCTAAATGTTGTGAAAATATAATTTGAACATCCTATTTAAACATCATATTAAAATGTATGGGTAGAATTATAGTTCGTAAATCATTAAAAACACAGCCAAACTCCCTCCTCTCTATTATTAGTCCAACAAAAAAAATATTGGGACAATTATAATATAAATAAAATATTTTTTATTTTTTTAATTTAAACAATTCATTTATTTTTATTAAATAAAATTTACTGAAAAAAATAAGTATTTAGCTCATTAAATTTAATATAAGTTTACATAAAATATCTAAAATATTATTTTTTTAATTTAACTATATAAATACATATTTTTCACCAATTTCAATCAACAAAAGAAATTAAGGATAAATTATAAACACACCACTTAAGATGTACTTAAATTACAAATTACCTCCGTAATTCTAAAATTACATTATGCTCTTAAGATTTCAAATTTCATAACAAATATGTCATTTTGTTAATAAATCATCAAGTTAATTAATAGTTTTAATAATGTTCAATCTTTGAAATTTTTCTTATAATTTTCACCCAAAAAAAAAAATAGTAAACCATGTAACCATCTGCGTTCATTTGGGAAATGGGTTGACTTTTTGGCTTTTTAAGGACTTTTGACTTTTTTGTGAGAGGAAAAATGAAATGATTATTGATTGAATGTAATTGTTAGATTTATTTATTTTGATGATTTATTTAATTATGTTTTAATTTATTTGAAAGATAAAAATAGAATCAACATTTATTTTGATAATTTATTTAATGATATTTTAATTTATTTGAAAGAGAAAAATATAATCAAAATTTATTTTTGCCCCATTATTTCTCACCTAAACCTTTATTCTAAATGTTGTTAGAATGTATTTAATATTTGATTAAATTAAGAGTTCAAACAGCCCAGTACAACAGCAATTCAAAAGGTTTAAAAGGTTCAAGTGGAAGATATTCAAATTAGTAGTTATGGAGTGAAAAATATTCAAATTAGTAATGATGGAGTACAATATCTATAAACGGCTATAAATTCAAATGAATACAACTATTTTCATTATACCAAAGCATCTAAACGACTATAAGTTTCATTACACCAAAGCCTCTAATATAAACAAGTTACAAAAAAATAGAAAATATTCTTTGATCGATAATCACTCACATCTATTTTCTGAAAAATTCTTTGAGAAGTGTTCTTCAATTTTTGTTTACATCATCTTTTAGAAATTATACACTGAGACGTATAGCTTTAAGCTCATCTTTCTTGTATGAGGTTTACAGAAAGACCAGAGCTTCATTTTTATATCTATCTTTGAAAGATAATT